GAGGTGGATGAGGGTGAGGCCTGCGATTAGGAAGGGGAGGAGAAAGTGTAGGGCGAAGAATCGGGTTAATGTGGGTGGGACATGGCAGCAGTTCTGTGCCTCTCCTCGTAGGGGGGCTGCTGGTGGGCTTCCCAGAAAACCCCCCTGCCAGTCAGATCCTGCACGGCCCTGAGCTGCAATACTACATCCAGCGCTTCCAGAAATCTGGCTTCAGGTAGGAATGGTAACCCCCTGCAGAAAGGGGATCCACAAACCCACCTGGGCCTCGCTTTATAAGCCCAAAAGGGGGGGGGAGGCTGGTAGGGAGGGGCTGCTTTCCCCCTGCAGGCTTTTCCTGTGCCGTGGGCAGTGAGATGGTCCTGGCAGGGGTGATGGCAGGAGCCGTGTCCCAGCATCACCATCCCATTCCCCGTCTTTCCCAGAGGCCCCTTGAACTGGTACCGCAACATGCGACCCAACTGGCGCTGGGCTGGCTCCGCCAAGGACAGGAAGGTGGGGACTGGTCCTGCATGGGAGGAGCATCCACAGACCTGGCACTGTCCCCACCTTGTCACTTCTGTTCCCTCATAGATCACAATGCCAGCGCTGATGGTGACGGCTGGGAAGGACATGGTGCTACATCCCAGCATGAGCAAGGGCATGGAGGAGTGGGTAAGGCAGCATGGTCCCATCCCACCCCTTCCCAACCCTTCCTGGGACCGGGATGCACAGAAGCCATCCTGCTGCCATGAGGTCCCACCACAAGAGAGCTCCCAGGGGCTGCATTTGGCCCAGATATGGAGACATCACTGGATAAGGGGGGGAACAGGCTGATACAGGGAGGGGATACAGGGACATTTCCATTCTCTCCTGCCTGCAGCAGGCAGGAAGGGATTTGCTTTTGCCAAAACAAAGAGCTGGGAAGACAGGGACAGCCTGGGATGAGCTCCCCAGGTGGCCAGCATCCCAGATCCTGGCACAAACCAACCTTGTCTCCTTTCTCCTCTATCCCTTGGAAGATCCCACAGCTCCACCGGGAGCAGCTTGAGGACTGTGGACACTGGACACAAATGGAGAGGTACCAGTGGGCCTGGATCCATCACAGCCAGGATCCCCCTTCTCTCGGGGGAAAGTGGGAAGCCAGATCCCACTCCAGCTCTGTGCCATCCCCACAGGCCGGCAGAGCTCAACAGGATCCTGGTGGGATGGCTGGAGGGACTCCCCCCTGATACACCCCTGCCCATGACCTCCAGGCTGTGAGCGGGACCTTCCCTCCTCCTCGGGCTCATTTTTGCCTTTTATTGTTCAGTTTTTGCCTTTTAGAATTTGATTTTTGGCTTTTAGGGTTTAATTTCTTTACCTTTAAGGCTTGATTTGCACTCTTTGAGGGGGGGGTCCATGGGTGGAAGGTGATGGATGGGCCTGGGGCTGGGAGGAGGGTGACACAGCATCGCTCCTTTGTGCAGCTAAAAGGGCCCCCAGGGAGGTCCCGGGGGTGGGGGTGGGGGGATAGTGTTTCTGGGGTGCTGGGAGATGGTTTTGGGCTGGACCCCTCCTTGTGCCATGGCAGGGGCTGCATGGGAGCTGCCCCATCACCTCGACTCCATCCCAAGGGTTTCCATTGCTGGGGGAAGTTGGCTTGTGGTTGGTTTTGGTGTGGAGCTTTTAATGCAGCAATAATCATCATAATAATAATGCCTGAAAAAATCACCTTCTGCCTTGTAACTCTGAGAAATAAAACAGAGTGAGCCAAGCACCTTGGTCCTCTCAGTGATCCTTAGGGTGCATCCCCCAGCCTCATGCCCTCCTCCCCGTGGCCCGTCCCCTTGGTGTCAGGGCTCCTTCTCCTCAGCTCCCAGCCCTTCTCCTGGCCCCAAAACATCTTCCAAGCAGACATCCAAGGTGGTGTGAAGATTTGGGCAAACACGCTTGGTATTTCCCCCCTTCCCAAATTCTCCCCAGCCCTCAACTATTTTCATCTGGAGCATTGAGGTTTGTCTGGCTCTGTCCTTCCTTCCAGCCCTGCCCTGCTCTGCCAGCCAGCCCACTGGAATGTTTTGCAGACGGACTTATCCTTGGAAAAGATGCTGCACGGATTTAGGCAGGGGGGAGAGGGAAGAACAAACTAACAAAAACCAGCTTCAGAGTGGGGGGAGAGAGAAAAATACAGCCCCTAGGTGGGTAGCAGAGAGGTTTAAACCTGCTCCCTCCAGCCCGGAGTTATCCAGAATCCTGTTTGTTTTTCTCCCTGGGTTTGCTGGCAGGGAAGAGCG